AGAAAGTCTTCTTCTTCTTCTCAGTTTATTGACAATTTAGATCCTGTTCATTCAGAGCCCAATGCATCAACATCTTCGGCGTGCTTCGTTTGCTGTCGGCTCAAAAACATGTTTTCTTTTTCATTTATTTCAATTAATATTTTGTGTTGAATCACATATTGAATACATCAGTGCAAATGTATTTGAGTTTCTGTTGCACAATTTAGTTAAAGTTCACTAGAAACACAAGATTTGTTAATGTTCACATAAACACTAGATTTGTTAATGTGTCAAGTGACTTTAACATGTGAATACCATTTCTGACATGTATCAAAGTAGCGCGAATGATCATCTACGTAAACTGTTTCTGTTTTCTGATAGTATTATAATTATCTTACTCTGTATAAGTTTCATGTCTCGATGCCTGTCCACAATACTATTATCATAACATGATTTGGATTGTATGTATTTCATGCAAGCTATAGTAGCTGTAAAGCAAACATCCTTTAATAAATAATGTGATTATGAATCTGGTTAAACCGTTCGCTTGCCATGCTGAAGACTGCGTTCGAATCCGCAAACAAGCATATGGTTTGAATCCCATTCTTGGTTTTCTCATCCAGTAATACTCAGGCGTACTCACTTAATTCAATTCATTGGCATAATATCACTGAGGGACATACAGCCTCACACTGTCACTCAGGACAATATCACTGATTGACATATAAGCCTGACACTGCCACTAGACATAATATAACAGAGGGACATATAGCCTGACACCGTCACTCAGCATAATATCACTGAGGGACATATAAGCCTGACACTGTCCCTCAGCATAATATCACTGACGGACATATATAGCCTTACACTGCCACTAAGCATAATATCACTGACGGACATATATCACTGACGGACATATAGCCTGACACTGTCACTCAGCATAATATCACTGACGGACATATATCACTGACGGACATACAGCCTGACACTGTCACTCAGCATAATATCACTGACGGACATATATCACTGACGGACATATAGCCTGACACTGTCACTCAGCATAATATCACTGACGGACATATATCACTGACGGACATATAGCCTGACACTGTCACTCAGCATAATATCACTGACGGACATATATCACTGACGGACATATAGCCTGACACTGTCACTCAGCATAATATCACTGACGGACATATATCACTGACGGACATATAGCCTGACACTGTCACTCAGCATAATATCACTGACGGACATATAGCCTGACACTGTCACTCAGCATAATATCACTGACAGACATATATCACTGACGGACATATAGCCTGACACTGTCACTCAGCATAATATCACTGACGGACATATATCACTGACGGACATATAGCCTGACACTGTCACTCAGCATAATATCACTGACGGACATATATCACTGACGGACATATAGCCTGACACTGTCACTCAGCATAATATCACTGACGGACATATATCACTAACGGACATATAGCCTGACACTGTCACTCAGCATAATATCACTGACGGACATATATCACTGACGGACATATAGCCTGACACTGTCACTCAGCATAATATCACTGACGGACATATATCACTGACGGACATATAGCCTGACACTGTCACTCAGCATAATATCACTGACGGACATATATCACTGACGGACATATAGCCTGACACTGTCACTCAGCATAATATCACTGACGGACATATATCACTAACGGACATATAGCCTGACACTGTCACTCAGAATAATATCACTGACGGACATATATCACTGACGGACATATAGCCTGACACTGTCACTCAGCATAATATTACTAACAGACATATATCACTGACGGACATATAGCCTGTCACTGTCACTCAGCATAATATCACTGACGGACATATATCACTGACGGACATATAGCCTGACACTGTCACTCAGCATAATATCACTGACGGACATATATCACTGACGGACATATAGCCTGACACTGTCACTCAGCATAATATCACTGACGGACATATATCACTGACGGACATATAGCCTGACACTGTCACTCAGCATAATGTCACTGACGGACATATATCACTGACGGACATATAGCCTGACACTGTCACTCAGCATAATATCACTGACGGACATATATCACTGACGGACATATAGCCTGACACTGTCACTCAGCATAATATCACTGACGGACATATATCACTGACGGACATATAGCCTGACACTGTCATTGCAGTATAAATCAGCGGCACACGGCAGTATGAATCAGCATAATGTCAGTCAGTGACACATAGGACGGCAGTGTCAATCAGCATGATGTCAGTCAGTCACACATAGGACGGCAGTGTCAATCAGCATAATGTCAGTCAGTGACACATAGGACGGCAGTGTCAATCAGCATGATGTCAGTCAGTGACACATAGAACGGCAGTGTCAATCAGCATAATGTCAGTTAGTGACATATAGGACGGCAGTGTCAATCAGCATAATGTCAGTCAGTGACACATAGGACGGCAGTGTCAATCAGCATAATGTCAGTTAGTGACACATAGGACGGCAGTGTCAATCAGCATAATGTCAGTCAGTGACACATAGGACGGCAGTGACAATCAGCATAATGTCAGTTAGTGACACATAGGACGGCAGTGACAATCAGCATAATGTCAGTCAGTGATCCATAGGATGGCAGTGTCAATCAGCATAATGTCAGTCAGTGACACATAGGACGGCAGTGTCAATCAGCATAATGTCAGTTAGTGACACATAGGACGGCAGTGTCAATCAGCATAATGTAAGTCAGTGACACATAGAACGGCAGTGTCAATCAGCATAATGTCAGTTAGTGACACATAGGACGGCAGTGTCAATCAGCATAATGTCAGTTAGTGACACATAGGACGGCAGTGTCAATCAGCATAATGTCAGTTAGTGACACACAGGACGGCAGTGTCAATCAGCATAATGTCAGTTAGTGACACATAGGACGGCAGTGTCAATCAGCATAATGTCAGTTAGTGACACATAGGACGGCAGTGTCAATCAGCATAATGTCAGTTAGTGACACATAGGACGGCAGTGTCAATCAGCATAATGTCAGTCAGTGACACATAGGACGGCAGTGTCAATCAGCATAATGTCAGTCAGTGACACATAGGACGGCAGTGTCAATCAGCATAATGTCAGTTAGTGACACATAGGACGGCAGTGTCAATCAGCATAATGTCAGTCAGTGACACATAGAACGGCAGTGTCAATCAGCATAATGTCAGTTAGTGACATATACGACGGCAGTTTCAATCAGCATAATGTCAGTCAGTGACACATTGGACGGCAGTGTCAATCAGCATAATGTCAGTCAGTGACACATAGGACGGCAGTGTCACTCAGCATAATGTCAGTCAGTGACACATAGGACGTCAGTGTCAATCAGCATAATGTCAGTTAGTGACACATAGGACGGCAGTGTCAATCAGCATAATGTCAGTTAGTGACACATAGGACGGCAGTGTCAATCAGCATAATGTCAGTCAGTGACACATAGGACGGCAGTGTCAATCAGCATAATGTCAGTTAGTGACACATAGGACGGCAGTGTGAATCAGCATAATGTCAGTTAGTGACACATAGGACGGCAGTGTCAATCAGCATAATGTCAGTTAGTGACACATAGAACGGCAGTGTCAATCAGCATAATGTCAGTCGGTGACACATAGGACGGCAGTGTCAATCAGCATAATGTCAGTTAGTGACACATAGAACGGCAGTGTCAATCAGCATAATGTCAGTCGGTGACACATAGGACGGCAGTGTCAATCAGCATAATGTCAGTTAGTGACACATAGAACGGCAGTGTCAATCAGCATAATGTCAGTCGGTGACACATAGGACGGCAGTGTCAATCAGCATAATGTCAGTTAGTGACACATAGGACGGCAGTGTGAATCAGCATAATGTCAGTTAGTGACACATAGGACGGCAGTGTGAATCAGCATAATGTCAGTTAGTGACACATAGGACGGCAGTGTCAATCAGCATAATGTCAGTTAGTGACACATAGAACGGCAGTGTCAATCAGCATAATGTCAGTCAGTGACACATAGGACGGCAGTGTCAATCAGCATAATGTCAGTTAGTGACACATAGGACGGCAGTGTCAATCAGCATAATGTCAGTTAGTGACACATAGGACGGCAGTGTCAATCAGCATAATGTCAGTTAGTGACACATAGAACGGCAGTGTCAATCAGCATAATGTCAGTTAGTGACACATAGGACGGCAGTGTCAATCAGCATAATGTCAGTCAGTGACACATAGGACGGCAGTGTCAATCAGCATAATGTCAGTTAGTGACACATAGGACGGCAGTGTCAATCAGCATAATGTCAGTCAGTGACACATAGGACGGCAGTGTCAATCAGCATAATGTCAGTTAGTGACACATAGGACGGCAGTGTCAATCAGCATAATGTCAGTTAGTGACACATAGGATGGCAGTGTCAATCAGCATAATGTCAGTTAGTGACACATAGGACGGCAGTGTCAATCAGCATAATGTCAGTTAGTGACACATAGAACGGCAGTGTCAATCAGCATAATGTCAGTTAGTGACACATAGGACGGCAGTGTCAATCAGCATAATGTCAGTCAGTGACACATAGGACGGCAGTGTCAATCAGCATAATGTCAGTTAGTGACACATAGGACGGCAGTGTCAATCAGCATAATGTCAGTCAGTGACACATAGGACGGCAGTGTCAATCAGCATAATGTCAGTTAGTGACACATAGGACGGCAGTGTCAATCAGCATAATGTCAGTTAGTGACACATAGGATGGCAGTGTCAATCAGCATAATGTCAGTCAGTGACACATAGGATGGCAGTGTCAATCAGCATAATGTCAGTCAGGGACACATATCCTGTCAATATCAGTCAGGGACCCATATCAAGTCCGAAAATGTCCGTCATCTTTCATCCTTTCACAGTCTAATGTATCATTTTGCGTTTTCTTTTAGGACAATAACCCCTCCGACGATGTTACTGATGTCTTCGCAATACAAGATGCTGCTGACGGTGACAATAATCGTCACTCTGTCTGCAATAGGTAAGTTTATTAATATATATATATATATATATATATGTGTGTGTGTGTGTGTGTGTGTGTGTGTGTGTGTGTGTGTGTGTGTGTGTGTGACTCATCAGAAGTTAAAGAACACCCAGTACGTGATATGTCAACACATGGTTAATTAATTGCGTGCGTGCGTTCGTGCGTGCGTCTCATCTTCCCGAAGCAATGGAGTCCGAACTTGGCTGGAATAATGGAGTTATACTTTGGCTGGACCAGAGACATCTTTGGTTTTGGTAGGAAAAAACGCTTCCATGCACAGTCTAACCAAAAACGCGTGACGATATCGACTTCCAATTCGTCAACTGCCGTGCCGGTTTCGGTCGATTGCAGGGTTTTTAACGCATGTGTACCACCAACACAGCGTCATCAGATATTTACCAAATACATTCATGTTTCTAATTAAGGTGCCGTTTTTAGCCATATTCCATCCATATCAGTGTGTGTGTGTGTGTGTATGTGTGTGTGTGCGTGTGTGTGCGTTTGTGGATGTATATTGATCCCCCCCCCCCCCCCCCCCCCCCCCTCCAGCACATTATACTGACTCCGATGCGTGCAGTCCTTCTTTATCCCTTAGTGCCGAGCGCAGGCAGGGTAACAATAAGTACTGTCGGTTGACATCTTCTTGTATGACGCGGCAAGGGGGTGGCACCACCGATATCCGAGATCCGGGCAGACCCCGGTTCAAGAACGGCCTAGTCTTTTAAGATGCAGCAATTCGCTCTGCAGATTTGCGTCCCTTGGGCACTCCAGGAACCTATGATCATGGGTTCGAATCCCGATTCGCCTCGATTATGTTTCTAGGTTTGTCAGCACCGTGCACACAGGCTGCACCAAAGTAGGAAGCGCCTAAGACCTGCATCCATTCAGTCTTTCCTCCCCCATTATGTTGACAAGTCGGAATATAACTGGAATACTTTTAAAAACGGCGTTAAACCTAACTCGCTCACTCACGAACATATCCTGATTTGTTGATGCTCACGTAGGCTGTGGTGGATTGATCTACCTCTTTCTATTATGATCCACTTCTTCCAGCTACTGCATCGTTTGACTGCCGTCGGAAAGGACAGGACTGTAAAAATAGCGGTACCTGCAATAACACCGGAAGCTGTATTTGCGCCACTGGCTATGAGGGTTACAATTGCCGTATCGAGACAGGTAAGTCCCATCGACGTTAACTCTAGATTTACCCATCCCTTTGAAACATTGATATTTATTCCGCATTCTTGGAATATACTGCCTTTTACAATACCAGAAACGTTTTTGGTAACTGTTTTGGAGGTGAACTGTCTCACAATTGGCGTTTTGTGTTTTGTTTTGTTTTGTTTTGTAGTGTTCAAATTACGGTTACGTACACTTTGTACAGTTCGGGTTTTGTTTGTTTGTTGTTTAACGCCGCACTTGGAAATAGTCTGTATGACGAGGCTCTGCTAATAATCGCATCTGGACCAGACAAACCAGTGATTGATATCATGGAGCGTCTATCCACGCAATTGGGATACGATGACATGCATCAACCAAGTCCAGACCACCCGATCCCGTTAGTTGCCTCTTAGGACAAGCATAGTCGCGGTGGTCGGGAAGCCTAGTGGTTAAAGCATTCACTCGTCACGCCTAAGACCCGGGTTCAATTCCCGACATGGGTACAGTGTGTGAAGCCCATTTTGGTGTCCCCGTCGTGATATTGCTGGAATATTGCTAAAAGCGGCGTAAAACCACACTCACTCACTCACAAGCATAGTCGTCTTTTAAGCCAAGTAGGTTTGCTGAAGGCCTATTCTAACCCGGATATTCAGGGGTGAGTAAGTTAGGTATTCGTTTGGTTCCTCTATTGGAGGGACAGGTGTTTAAAATTGTACTATGGCCTGTGTGTGATACGAGGCTGCACCTATTACAGCGGGAAGAGCAGGTAGCAACTGTACGTCCGAATGTCACCACGGCGGTGTCTGCGCCAACAACACATGCATCTGTACCGAGAATTACTATGGAAGTACTTGCAGCAACAACAGAGGTAGGTAGAAAAGTGCATTAGGTGCATCTACTTAGCACTTAAGGTGTAGGTATAGTATGCATTTAGTATTGAGACTAAAGTTAGAGCTGCAAAACCATATCAATTTTAAGTCTTTGTATCCCCCCCCCCCCGCCCCCCCCACACACACACACACATACACGCTCCCATGGGACAATGTATTTTTTCGACAAAACTCCAGCAAAAGCCCATTTCTGGTGTCCCCCGCCGTGATATTGCTGGAATATTGCTAAAAGCGGCGTAAAACCATACTCACTCACTCAATCCACTTATTCTGGAGAATTTCATACATATTTGTGTTTGTCTGAATAACTGAATAACTCTCTTACCTTATCATTTATAATTATAACCTTTTCGGCAGATTTTAAGTTTTGTATTTGCAACCCTAAAAACAGAATCGATTTTTCAGAAATAAGTTTTCCGATAGAGCAGTTTCTCTGATAAAGACACCATCACATTTGTCTGTTTTACAGAGCAAATACTGTGTTTCGGAGACAAAAAGGCCATCCACATCAACCCGGAAGGCTTTCAAGGCACGATATACATCGCTGGAAATCGCAACATGGTCAACTGTACCTTCAAAAATGTTACTGATGTCATCCCAACTCTTCCGCAGAACGTTACTTGGGATGAAGGTTATGCGATTTTGATTCTTGATAACAGTTCGGAGTGTGGATCAATCACCACAAGGACAAACGTGAGTGAAGTGGAGCAGTTGTCTATTTGTTTGTTTGTTTGTTAATTAACGCCGCACTCAGCAATATTCAAGCTATATGACGGCGGTCGGTAAATAATCGAGCCTGGACCAGACAGTCCAGTGATTGACATCATGAACATCGATCCATACAATTGGGATACGATAACATGTATCAACCAAGTCAGCGAGCCTGACCACCTGATCCCGTTAGTCGCCTCTTCCAACAATCATGGTCGCCTTTTACGGCAAGCATGGGTTGCTGAAGACCTATTCTACCTCCCATCTTCACGGGTCTGGATTAGTTATCTAACGTAAATGTTTGTTGTTTAAGGCCGCACCCAGCAATATTCCAGCTATATGACGGTGGTCTGTAAATAATCGAGTCTGGGCCAGACAATCGAGTGATTGACATCATGCTAATCCATCTACGCAACTGGACTACAATGACATACGTCAACCAAGTCAACGAGACTGAACACCCGATCTCGTTGTGTCGCCTTTTACAAGCATTGGTTGCTGATCCCCAGGTTTAACCTGGACCTTCACGGGGTCCCTGCCGATGTAAACACTTACTCATTGATGTTGTTTTTTCTGGAAATATGTTACACCATTTAGTTTTTATACATGTTTGTTCTTATCTAAGGACACGGAGTCACTAATTTTGAATCTTACAGGACACAGAGGTGATTTACGAGCGTTTTGTCAACATCGAGTATGACGAACTTATTGTGACAACGCTGGACGAAAGACTCAGTGCCAAGTGTGCATTCGAGAACAGCACTGTTCGAACACTTTATGGGGACGTGGTGTCGGCGGGGGTGACTGCGTAAGTTCGAGTTTTGTTTGTTTGTTTGTTGTTTAACGCCGCACTTGGAAATAGTCTCACTGTATGACGGCGCTCTGCACATAATCGATTCTGGACCAGACAAACCAGTGATTGATATCATGGAGCGTTGATCCAGGCAACTGGGATACGATGACATGCATCAACCAAGTCCTGACCACCCGATCCAGTTATTTGCCTCTTCCGACAAGCATTTTCGCCTATGACTGAGTAAGCACGTTTATTGCTATTTACGACACACGAGTATTCATGTTTAAGTATGGCGATCATAACTAGAACACAAAATCCCATGAACGTCCAAACCCATGTTCGAAGTGTTTAGAATCCTCTATTCAATGGGACACAGCTTGAGTATCTCAAAACATGGATTTCCGTTCGAAATTGGATTCCCATGTCTCGTCTTGCTCTTTGTGTTCAGATGCTGTTTATTTGTTATATCACGTCGTACTCGGCAATATTCCAGTTATATGACTGCGGTCTGTAAATAATCGAGTCTGGACCAGACAGTCCAGTGATTGACATCATGAACATCGATCCATACAATTGGGATACGATAACATGTATCAACCAAGTCAGCGAGCCTGACCACCTGATCCCGTTAGTCGCCTCTTCCGACAAGCATAGTCGCCTTTTACGGCAAGCATGGGTCTGGATTAGTTATCTAACGTAAATGTTTGTTGTTTAGCGCCGCACCCAGCAATATTCCAGCTATATGACGGTGGTCTGTAAATAATCGAGTCTGGACCAGACAATCCAGTGATTTACATGGGTTTTCATGGGTCCACACTCAGTCTAGCTCCATTAAATGTTGATATTGCACGTCTACCTCATGTGCTATCACATGTTTACTCAGATAAAATAAAAAACGGGCATGTTAATTTATTTCGTGTCACACTGAACAATTTGGCCAATACACGTGCTGCTATATACGAACAATTAAATATGCACGTCAGATATATCCCGTATATTGTAAGAGTATCAATTATTCAAATACCTCGAGTATTTTCAGCAGCTCCCTCGCTATATGGCTGAAATAATGCCAATGCGACGTAAACCTTTAACTCACTCGCTCCAATGCAATAGAAAAGTATAATACTTTGGGTGAGTGAGTTTAATGGGTTTAGTTGGGGATACACTTTGAAGAGTATTCAGGGTATTCCACATCACGGTGTGTCAGTGTGGTGTGGGATGAAAGCCCGAAGTTAAACCCAAAAGCACGGGTATGGTGCTGGCAAACCTAATTCTCTTGCGTGCCCAGGGACGCAACTCTTCACAGAGAACCGCGGCGCCTAACACGACTGCGCCATCCGTACTCTAAAGTATGTTGAAGCATGACTCTTCTATATTTACCACATGTAAAAATGGTTTATTTCAGTGCTCAGTACACGAATACCTCAATCACCAACATCTATGAGCCTGTGGTGTTCAAGGTAACCAACAAGAATCAGCCCTTGAGTACTGCCCCCATGCTGATAGGCGAGGAACTCACCTTCTCATTCAACATTCCTGCCGAAACAGGTACACAAACAGGACTGCGCCAAATGTGTTACCTACAATTTTTGTTACATTATGCAATTTCCCTTCAATTCAAGCAATTTTGAATTTTGTGTGGATAGATACCTCGTTTTGCAATAGATTGGTTGGTTGGTTTGTTGTTTAACGCCGCACTCAGCAATATTCCAGCTTTATGACGGCGGTCTGTAAATAATCGAGTCTGGACCAGACAATCCAGATTGATATCATGAGCATCGATCCACGCAATTGGGATCGATGACATGCATCAACCAAGTCAGCGAGCCTGACCACCCGATCCCGGTAGTCGCCTTTTACGACAAGCATAGTCGCCTTTTACGGCAAGCATGGGTTGCTGAAGACCTATTCTACCCCGGAATCTTCTCGGGTCCGTTTTGCAATAGAAAAGGTTGTGGTATACAGGAAAAAGTTGAAACGAAAATCGGGTGGGTGGGGGGTTGTGTCTGAGTTAGGGTTGAAGCCGCTTCTAACATTATTCCAGTTATATCACGGCGTGTCAGGTTAATGTTGGAGGAAAGCCCGAAGTGATGCAGGTCTCAGACGTTTACCACTCTATTGAGGCTCACGAGCAAGGGTGTGGTGCTAACAAACCTTGAAACATTTTTGGGGCGTACCGGAATTCGAACCCACAATCATAGGGTTCTGCCGTGCCCAAGGGACGCAACTGCACAGCGAATTGCTGCACCGTCGGCGACTTGGCTACCCGGGAGGAGGATTGAGCATGACACGAAACATAACATGTAGCCATTAACTGCATATTCCAAGTCCGTACGTAACGGCTTCTTTGTTACAACAATGTCATTTCAAAAATTAATCAAGTACAAATATTCAATAAAATAGATCCACCAGCAAATCTCACAATCTGCTTGAAATTGTCGCTTTAGAAATGGGCCTCAAAAGAATTATTATAACTTGTGAACGTGTTATTATCAGTGAATGCTGATAAACTCATCATCTTTACTGCAATCCGAACTAAGTATTTCCTACACGTTTGTAGTCATGTTTTGTGTGTATCAGGCCAACGGTAAGTCTTCTCTGTTGCTTCGAGAAAGTGTATGCTCTTCTTTCTGTTTCAGGGTATGCGTCGGTAATTGTGATGAGTCTCACAGCTAATGATACCTTGGATCGTGGTAAAACGTTTCCCATCATAGACAACAAGTAAGTACATAAAACATCGCCTTCACCACGGAGGAGGTATGCCTATATAGGCCCTTCTTATATTATTTGATCAGTTATTGCCGCCTGTGTTACGCCATGTTTTGTTTGTTTGTTGTTTAACGCCGCACTCATCAATATTTAGCAATTGTACGGCGGTCTGTAAATAATCGAGCCTGGACCAGACAATCCAGTGATTGACATCATGAGCATCGATCCACGCAATTGGGATCGATAACATGCTTTAACCAAGTCAGCGCGCCTGACCACCCGACCCCGTTAGTCGCCCCTTACGACAAGCATAGTCGCCTTCTTCGGCAAGCATGGGTTGCTGAAGACCTATTCTGTCCCGGATATTCACGGGTACATTAGTCATGTACATTGGGTTACCACAAACAACCTTGTACTGCTCAAATAACATCTTTGTTCTGTTTTATGTAAACAGTCGGCATGGTGCATGCGTGTGTGACCCCTTGTTGTCGTCCCTCAGCAACCCATTGCGTTAGAGGCGAATAACGAGATATGGGGGTCCGGCTCGACGACTTGGTTTAAATATGTCATCGTATCCCAACCGCGTAGATCGATACTCTTGATGTCAGTCTGTGGATCGTCTGGTCCAAACTCGATCAGTTACAGACCACCGTTACGGCTTTAATCAACAAAAACAAACAAACTGAAAACGATGTCCGTAAGATGTCCCTGAAACTGATTGGGAGATGTTTAATACCTTTATGAAATTCATTTTGCTATGAGAACGTTCAGAATGTTCTAATCGTAAAACATTTCATTGAACATGTAAATGTTGATCTCAGGGAAGGACCAACAAATTAAAAATACTTTCTCCCACATAAGTTAATGATTATATCGTCCATGTGTATGTGGTAGTTTTCACGGGAGAAGAGGAGAAGAGCTTTCTATGCATACATGCATGATTAATATATATTGTAGCCCCTCTTAGATGTAAATTCTGCACTGGGTAGACTGTTCTAACGGGTCGAACCATAGACCAAAGTCGTTACCTATAGATGAGTTCAAACAACAATAAAATGGCCAGCTAGGGGCCACGTGGCCGCAACTGTGATTGACACTACTAACTCTCAGTATCTTCCTTTGATGTTAGGGGCGGTCGGGTAGCCTAGTGGTTAAAGCGTTCGCTCGACACGCCGAAGACCCGGGTTCGATTCCCGACATGGGTACATGTGTGTGAAGCCCATTTCTGGTGTCCCCCTACCGTGATATTGCTGGAATATTGCTAAAAGCGGCGTTAAACCATACTCACATCACTCCTTTGATGTTACTTGTGTTTTAACGTACCTGTTGTATATTTTTCAAGGTGCCCTGTTAAAGAAGCAGCCTCTGTGTTGACGACCCTCGAACGATCAACTGATAACAGAACAGTTACAGTGAAAGTCAAAGTGTTTAAATTTGTTGGCAATGACAAGGTCGGCTTCTCATGTACTGCCAGAATATGCAAGGAGGGCGACACACAGTGTGACGAGGTAGGTTGATCTGTATAGTTCACAATAGTACCCCCTGGACGATCCGGTTAGAATTGGTCTTCGGCGATTCATGCTTGTCGTGAGAGGCAACTAACGAGATCGGGTGGTCAGGCTCACTGACTTGGTTAATTCTTGTTACTGTATCCCAATTGTGTAGATGGATGCTCACGATCTCAATCACTGAATTATTGGATTCTTTACAGACTGCCGTCATGGTGTCCTCAAATCCTCAAATAGCACTGTATCCCACTCACTGCCATAAGCGTTCAGTTGTCTGAGTTAGAAAAAAATGAAGCTTGCAATTAAAGTAAAGGCGCGTTGATTGAAAATTTTGAACCGCTTCGAAAATATTTATCTTAGCTTCGCCCTTTGGAATACTATCAGCGCAAATTCAAAAGGCGAATACTGTGCCATAGCAGCGACTTCGGTTTCGAAACACGTATGTATGGCCTGTCTATGTGTGCGATAGTCCACCCATTTTCTATCCACAAAATGTAGGCGTGAAATGGTAAGGGTTGAAACTAGAATTGGTATGGGCTAGTGGACACGCTTGCCTCGAAAAGATGAAACACTGGCAGTAATCGTTTCTCTGAAGCACAATTTACAAATACCTTGCCTAACATCTGTACCAATGCGAATGCTCTATGTTCTTAAAACCAACTATCTTGCCGTCAGAACGTACCCTCAAACATTTGTACATACGATGAGGTTTCACACCGAACCCGAATTCCGTCGTCTATTTGTAAAAGTCTGTGGGGACATTTAGGCTTATGGGAAAATGTTTAGGAAATTCATGCATTTCTAATTTCTATTATCGTCTGTGACAATTTAATTGGCGGATGTCCCAGCTGGCGCAGTAGTCTAAGAGTTGCGTCCGTTGGGCACGCCAGAAACTTATGATTGTGGGTTCGAATCCCGGTTCGCCCCGATTATGGTTTTAGGCTTGTCAGCACCATACCCGTGCTTGTGGGTTTCACCGAAGTGGTAAATGTCTGCATCACTTCGGGCTTTCCGCCCACATTAAGCTGCCGTGAAAAACTGGAATACTGTTCAAATCGGCGTTTAACCCCACTCACTCACTCATTCAGCTGTAAGGCGAGATTTACGGACAGCAGAAGTTCATCTCTTGTCACTATTCGTCTGAGCGGATGTGATGCCACAATGAGCAGGTTCATGATAGATCAAGAAGGCACAACCAGTTGCCGCAGGACCCTGGTCAGGTTGAGGGCGGGCCTAAGAACAGGTACGAGGCAATTATAGTCCAAGAAGGGGATATTTACTGAATATAAAAGAAGGCATTACATTTTAGGGGATGTATATTATTTTCACTGTGAGGGTCGGTAACAGTTAGCTAGTAAGTGTTTATGTTGTAGTCCACGTGTAGTGGACAAACGACGCTAACAGGCATCGGGCGCCGGAAGAGGGAGGCTGCAAACGAGAAGACCATCGAGACGGTTGTCAAGGTCACCGAGGACCCCAAAGAAGCTGCCGCAACCGGAACAGCACCGACAGTTAACCCCTCAGGTTAGTAGCAATGCAATGATGCATATTTATAGAATAACTCCAAGTTAGGGCAATAACGGCTTATCTTTTTCTGGTGAATTGATTCTTTAACTTTCAATATTGACACGCGACGAACGGATATTATGATCCGTAATTAAGACTTGGTAGTTCTTAGTATTGCCCGTCGATATATTTTCTGAGGAAATGTTGAAAAACATATGGGTGTCCTGATTGTCGCAAGTGGAAGCATCAGCTCAGTAGTAGTAGTAGTAGTAGTAGTAGTAGTAGTAGTAGTAGTAGTATATCGCACGGATATCGCCCTAACTGGTACACTGACGTGGCAATTTTCAAACATGTTCAATGTCAGACCGAAGACCAGATTGATGTTGGGTATGATATGAAATCTTCCTTTGAGTAAACTTTTTTATAACATAACATCAAATTGTCAAATATGTGCAAGTGAATGCATGCATTTTCATCTTGTTTGAAAGACAGGCGTACTAAGGGACGCAACTCCAATTTCTTACCAGCCAGGCTGATACATCGATCGCCCAATCAAATTGCATTGACATGTACGGTGTGGTTGTTACCAGCCCTGTGGTATGACCACACCTGCACAATGCCTCGTCATTGATAGGTATATGACAAGGGTCCATTAGTCCTGGTTATGTCCAGGCGCTAAAACATCGGGTTTTAGAAGATGTATCCATGTACGGAACCGAATTAAACCGAGCCAAAACGATGCTTTCACTTTATGGCTATGGATTCATAATATTATATGAACAGTGGATATTGTTTTATACCGCATAGAACCCTGTGAAGCTGTACGCTACAACAAGCTACACCAAGAAGACGGAAATATGAGTTACACACCATGAATACACAAATATGAGTTATACGACGTTTGAAACATCTAGAAAAATGATATTTCTTAGTGATGTCCTCTTGGCTTGGCTTTAGGCTTTAACCCGTGAAGATTCCGGGGTAAAATAGGTCTTCAGCAACCCATGCTTGCCGTAAAAGGCGACTATGCTTGTCGCAAAAGGCGACTACCGGGATCGGGTGGTCAGGCTCGCTGACTTGGTTGATGCACGGTCATCAATCCCAATTGCGTGGGTTGATGCTCATAATATTAATCACTGGATTGTCTGGTCCAGAATCGATTATTTACAGACCGCCGTCATATAGCTGGAATATTGCTGAGTGCGGCGTTAAACAACAAACCAACCAACCAACCAACTTAAGACTTTACATTCTGACTTCAGAAGGATGCAAGGACGACTCAACCCCAGAGACCGACGACAGCGAGTGCCTGATGAAGAAAGAGATAATTGTTGTCCTCGCCATAATGGCGGCCACCGTAGTGATCCTCATGATCGCCTGTATCGTGCTGACGTGCAAGCTGCTGAAGTCTGGCACCAAGGTTGTCGACGTCCCCCACTCGGAATACCAGCCCTCAGTATCCCTGCCACGACTCACCCCGGCTAATTTCTAGATCTGGAGAGCTAGGGAGCGACGATGTCACGTCGTCTTTCAGCTGGTCCTGTATTATTCGCTGTGGTAAAAGGTCAATGATATACGAACCTTTCTTTTCAAGATGATCTCAACGCCAGTATAGCCTCCCATTGTGGACGTATTTCGTAAAGCTTTCTTAAGTTGTTACACGCCTTCTGTTGCTACCGGTAAGGCAGGCGTGTTCCCCCTTCTCGCAAACACCTGTTGTCATAACTGATTTTCAGTGATCCATTCATGTCATTTTCACCGCTATTTTGCCTTTTAGGCCCAAATGTATCTGCTTCGGCGGAAAGTCCAGACTAATTATTTGGCTTTTAATATGTACATATGCTTGAAGCCATGTTTTAGTTACGTGGTTATAAAATTAAATTCTTGTCTACTTGGAAAACCAATCTTACGGGCAACTGCAGCTCTTGGTGAAGTCTATATAATATACTCTTCATAAAAAGAAAGTACACATTGACTTTGATGATGTCTGCAAGATAACGTGGAGATAGGATGCTACGTCACACAGGTCTGCGAGCAACAATACCTGCCTCACGCGAACGATTACGTAACGTAACGTAACAGGATATTCTTCGTAGCCAGGAAGTAGTAGGGTGGTTGACGTTGTTGGTAAGAATTGTTATCGAAGAACTGGATATTGCGATTGGTTAGGGGTTGTTACTCAAGGTCAACATGACCTTAGTCGGTCACGACCATGTCCGTCTTGGCCTTTTAACGTCTTGCTGTGTGACTTCACGTGGTCCCGTTTATCTCCTTTGTCATGGCTTTCCGACCATATAAACAGATTCGTCAGCACGTTTGGTTGAAGTGAAATCGAGCAGCTGTTTTTGTACACTTTACTGAAGTAAGACTTAGTCATTACGTCATTATCTGACGTTTTGACATTACAACACATTTATTGTATGCCCATATTCCATCAATAGTTTTATTTACGTCCTTTAAAATAAAATGATGGATTTAGTATGTATAGTTTCTTTTTTTGAAGAGTATATAACCAAAGGGACACTGATCCGAACAACGGTTTGATATTAGTTTATCCGGAAGATTTTCTGAACCTCCTCTTTGATGGGGATAACCTGTATCCGTATCATGTCTGTTACTCACGATGCTGCTTGTCATATCACTGCAACTGTAATATATTCAAAAATATGTATTTATTATATACATGTATATTTTCATGACGAGAGTTTTAAATATGATTGTATTACCCTGATTCTATGTATATATGTTGAAAATATGTCCTTTCTTTTTTCAATACAAACGAGGGGCGGTCGGGTAGCCCAGTGGTTAAAGCGTTGGCTCGTCACGCTGAAGACCCGGGTTCGATTCCCGACATGGGTACAATGTGTGAAGCCCATTTGTGGTGTCCCCCGCCGTGATATTGCTGGAATATTGCTAAAAGCGGCGTAAAACCATACTCACTCACTCAATACAAACGATGCGAGAGGAAACTAAACTGCCTGGCAAAAGAAAGTATACACCCATGTTTGACGGTGGCTAAAAATGAAACAAACCTGAAATGGTTATTCTATGGAGAGGTATTTAATACGGGTAGCATAGATGTGCCTTGGACCTTGCGTTTGCAGTTTTTCAGTGACTGTTTTCAGCCTTGTGACGTTTTGATAACGTTTGTAATGTTTGGGTTAAATCATTTTTTTAAAATGTATACTTTCTTTTGCCCGGCAGTGTATTTGAATTGGTTAGGTGAAACAACCAATCACTTCCACAGACTCATCGCAGATACCAGATGAATGCGTTTTCGTAGCTGGGTAGTTGTTTTCATTGTATCACATAGCTTATGGAAGAGGGCGCTTATTGGAACATTCTGTAGAGGTGTACACTAACACAACAATAGCTCGTTCTTGTAACTGTGTGCTTCCCATGTTCAGATTTAAACTCATGCACGTGTGAAATACATACACTGTTAGTTAACAAAGGTTGACTGTCAACGATTGCCTTAAACGGAAAGAACGTTCTCTTTCCTAGCTTGGAAATATCACGGAAATGGCACTGAAAAATCGCGGAAATATCACAGAAAGATGACGAATGTACGCTCATTTAATCTTTCCTATGAGCGCTAATTAAAAAAATATATAAATTACTAAAAGCATTTCCTTCCAAGAAAATATACTGATCTTGATTAATATGGATCTGTTGTCATGATGGAGGTGTCATGGTTGTATTTAGACCTTAAGTTTTCAGTGTTTTCAGTTTAGTAACGTTTAGATCATGTTTGTAAGAATTGTTTTGGTAAAATCTAATTGCCAACTACGTTCTTTACCCCGGAAGCTTAGTATGTGTCGGGTCCTGCAAACATATAATTAAAGATTGGAAATATGGATATAACGTAAGTTCGTTTTTAGGTTTGGAATGAGTTCTTTGTCCCATGTATGTATGTACACATTCCACAGGTAATGGTAATAGTGTGTATATTGTAGGGAGTGCGTTCTAGTGAATCATCACAATTTATACATTTTCCGGTGAGATATTTTGCTATGTATTATTCACCGCTTATAGAGGTGCGCGTTATTGTGGTTAATTGGTGCTTTGCCTAGCGTACATGCATCATCGTTTCTGCATCGACCTACTGTTTATCCGAAATCGGTCACCTCAGGATGGGTAGCACTTTGTCAAAATATCATGGTAATTTTATCTGAAATGTGACCTAACATGTTTTGGTAGAAAAACACACATATTATTAATGTTAAATGCAGAAAAACAACTTAAACGGTCATTTCAATTTTGAAATAAGCAACGTCAGTTTCAAAGCAATATGACCACATCTTGGAGCCGTCATACATATTCCCCAACTGGATACCTACAATATCCCTATCAAACGTTGAGCAGTACAGCTTCATCGCCTTTCAATAACCCCGATTTCAATACAGTAAAATTTCTTAGTGGAAATCAAATATAATGACAGACAATGCATATTTTTGCTTGTTTTCCAAATATTAAGAAATATATGTTAGCCTTTTGTATTGTTTGAGCTAGGATGATTGCCTTTCGTCATTGTGATCTATACTGTACATGCATGCGTATGTTTTACTTTTTGTATAACAAATGCATTATATGTTAATGTTCTAAACATATACATCATGTTCTTTGTACAGATTCAAAAATGTCTGTCGTAAAAAAAACCAACACTTGTTACGTCTCGCATAGACTGATACTTGCATTATATTTTTATTTACCATGAAATAAATGAACATATTATGTTTCTTTGGTAGTTGCCTGTTTTCTATACGAGCACATATTCATATCTTGAAATTATCATACATTGTACACATAGATGAGTGAGTGAGTGAGAATGGTTTTACGCTGCTTTTAGCAATATTCCAGCTGTATTACGGCGGGGGACACCAGAAATGGGCTTCACACATTGTACCCATGTCGGCAATCGAACCCGGGTCTTTGGCGTGACGAACTTCACTCAGGCGAAATGTAGGAGTGAGGCCCAAAACGATGCAGGCCTATGTTTCACAATTTGGTCAAACAGTCATAGATGATGCTGACAGACAATTGGGTCGATGATGAATGAGTGAATATGATTTTGTGCCGCTTTTAGCAATATTCCACCAATATCACGGCGGGGGACACCAGAAATGGGTTTTACATATTGTACCTATGTCGGGAATCACACATGGGCATTCGGCGTGACGAGCGAACGCTTTAACCTCTAGGCTATCCCATCGATCAGGGTGAATGATGATGATGATGATGTAACGAGCGCTTCCGGTGGACTTACCAAACCAACATTGAAAACATCCTTTTCAGTGCTACACTAATACAGCAACATATATCAAAAGCCAAACAACTGCAACATCTCGAGTAAGGGCATACCATGTTATAATCTGGGAGGGTCTGGGACAAGCGTTTATGGTCAAAGGGAGATAACTCTAGAAACCGGAAGTGCTAACGAAGGATAACACAGTCAATGTGGAAATTCTAATACTGCTAGGCAACTGGTAAGTAATGGTTAGTGATCGAATGTTTGGTTCATGTTGCTAGGATACCTGGTTGGGTAGCGAGGATGTAACGGAGATGGTAGAAACGTGAGTTTGAGTTTGCGTCTTTAATAAACAAGTCGTGTCGTAAAGAGCTGTGTCACGCCCTTTCAATAGTCTCTTCCTGATATTGAGGGAACAGGTTTTGAAATCATTAACTGCACACGTTGGCTGTTTAGAAAAATGTGTTTTGCGTCCACACTAAATTGTGTGGCGTTCAGAAGAATAACACTTAAAGCCTTGACTGACAACTGATTTTGTCCCAGTAGCCTCCCATGCGCACACAGACACACCAAATATTGGCAAATATTGAATGGTCGGACCACAAGGCCGTTAAGGTAATTGTGTCCAAAAGCTGTACCAGCATCCCGTGGAAGGTTCTGTTTTATATGGTCTCTGGTTCTATTAACATCCGTTATCCAAAGAAATCTGTGACATCTCGATTCGGCCATTCCATCCAAGAGATGGTGTACTCCGTTCCGCTAACGTCTGTCACTATGTACGAGAATTCTGCGCTCTGTCTGTGTCTGCTGGTGGATACGGGACTTCCTCCGCCGACAGAAGCACATGATTACTATCCCCAGTACTGCCGAAAACAGAATGAGTGCCGTGGCCTCTGATGTTACAGTGAGGAGGAACACGTCACTTCCGGCGTCATTTGTCGCTTGTTCGGATTGTCCAGGACCTGGAAAGGCAGTTGGTATACGTGAAGTTATTAATTACGTTCGTGACTGATAGACATGACAATAATGAATATTGTACGGTCATGGTACTGGAATTAGATAATTTTACATCATCTATAATGCAATACAGGTTATCACGTGGCATGTTGCCTTTTCAGGTTCATTACAAACACAAACAATTGCGTTTGCTAACTTTAATAATCTAGAGCGATTTGCCATAAAAGATTAAATCTGACGTTTAAATGACAATGTAAATCTTCACACAATGTACTGATGGCCACGTGTCTGTGCCTTCTCTGACAATGGATTTCAAGTCGGAAAGCACAGATGTACTATGATGATGTGATTAGGACTTCGTACCGAGGACTGTGTCTTTCATGATTTTATTTATTATCATCTGACATGACATGACATAGGAATAAGATGGGAGGAGGAGTGACGCGAAATGTTAACACAATGAAAGGTTGAAAGGACCCCCCCCCCCCCCCCCCCCAACGGCTTGAAAAATTACACAGCCCCCTTTTGTCAAAAATAAAATAAATTTGTTCCCACCAACACCACCACCACCACCACCACCACCACCCCCCAACCCCCCCCCACCCCCCACCACCCCCCCCCAACCATGACATGACATAGGAATAAGATGGGAGGAGGTGTGACGCGAAATGTTAACACAATGAAAGGATGAAAGGACCCCCCCCCCCCCCCCCCCCCCCCCCACGGCTTGAAAAATTACACAGCCCCCTTTTGTCAAAAATAAAATAAATTTGTTCCCACCAACACCACCATCCCCCCCCCCCACCCCCAACACCCCCCCACCCCCCAACACCCACCCCCACCCCCCCCACCCCCACCCCCACCCCCAACACCACCACCCAACCATGACATGACATAGGAATAAGATGGGAGGAGGTGTGACGCGAAATGTTAACACAATGAAAGGATGAAAGGACCCCCCCCCCCCCCACGGCTTGAAAAATTACACAGCCCCCTTTTGTCAAAAATAAAATAAATTTGTCCCCACCAACACCAACATCCCCCCACCCCAACACCCCCACCCCACCCCACCCCATAGTAACTATGCCAGGGATCTCGCTGTTGTTCCACCCTCTGCCGGGCTAATCCCGGGAGTACCTACCGGACTTATTGGGAAGCGGGTCTAATATTCTGAGCACCCTGGTCAGCTCGGCCTCGTCCTGGTCAAGGGATCGCCTCCGTCTCCTACTACCTGGACACGCGACCTGGAAACATGTGACATGTGACGCGGAGCAACATTTACATCATCTTCTAACATTCGACATAGTACCCGGAATAGAATATATTTCTCCACATACTGACGAAGTGTTTGAATCAAATTTGATTTGGTAAACCAGTCCTCCTCAGGGAACATTTTCTTGTACATAATCAAATCAGTACAATCAGTAATGTTAAAAGGACCTGCTTGAGCTGACAGACCAGACACCCTCGTTGATCTTTTCAGGGGTAATGTGTATAGTATGGTGGCCGAGAGGGGACATCGCTTCCTGGCCCTCAATTACGGCCGCGAGAAATCAATAAACCGATACCACGAGACGAGAAAGCAATACCATGAGACAAGAGAACGATACCATGAGACGAGAAAGCAATACCACGAGACAAGAGAGCGATACCATGAGACGAGAAAGCAATACCACGAGACGAGAAAACAATACCACGAGACGAGAAAGTGATACCAAAAGACGAGAAAGCAATACAATGAGACGAGAAAGGGATACCATGAGACGAGAAAGCGATACCAAAAGACGAGAAAGCAATACAATGAGACGAGAAAGGGAAACCATGAGACGAGAAAGCGATACCACGAGACGAGAAAGCAATACCACGAGACGAGAAAGCGATACTATGAGACGAGAAGGCGATACCATGAGACGAGAAAGCGATACTATGAGACGAGCAAGCGATACCACGAGATGAGAATGCAATACCACGAGACGAGAAAGCGATACTATGAGACGAGCAAGCGATACCACGAGATGAGAATGCAATACCACGAGACGAGAAAGCGATACTATGAGACGAGAAGGCGATACCATGAGACGAGAAAGCGATACCACGAGATGAGAATGCAATACCACGAGACGAGAAAGCGATACTATGAGACGAGCAAGCGATACCACGAGACGAGAATGCAATACCACGAGACGAGAAAGCGATACTATGAGACGAGAAAGCGATACCATGAGACGAGAAAGCGATACTATGAGACGAGAAAACGATACCACGAGATGAGAAAGCCATACCATTATACGAGAAGGCGATTCTATGAGACGAGAAAGCGATACCACGAGACAAGAAAGCGATACCACGAGACGAGAAAGCGATACTATGAGACGAGAAAACGATACCACGAGATGAGAAAGCCATACCATTATACGAGAAGGCGATTCTATGAGACGAGAAAGCGATACCACGAGACGAGAAAGCGATACCACGAGACGAGAAAGCGATATCATGATACGAGAAGGCGATACTATGAGACGAGAAAGCGATACCACGAGACGAGAAAGCGATACCACGAGACGAGAAAGCGATATCATGATACGAGAAGGCGATAAACAGTTATGCTATTAGTTATTTCACACCATGTTTAAACATGGTCATACTTGTTAATGTTTTTCGCTATCAATATTGTTTTTATTTACCTCATTACTACCCCATTCTTCCTTCAATCTTAAAGACCGCCTTGGTGTTCTAGTGGTACAGCGTCCGCCCGGAGAGCAGAAGGTCCGGGGTTCGATCACCGTTAAAAGACGTTAAAAGATGGTACTTGTTATTACCCTAACTGGCGTACCGTTGTATCCTTTCTCGTCTCGTGTTATCGCTTTCTCGGCTCGTGTAATCGCTTTCTCGCGGCCGTAATTGAGGGCGAGAAACTGATATCCCCTCTCGGCCACCATAAATGTGCTAGGGTGATGACAGACTTTGTTTGTTTGCTTGTTTTACGCCGCACTCCAGCTTTGTGACGACGCCAGTAGATAATCGAGTCTTGACCAGACAATTGTGGGATTGATACTATGTGCAATAATCAATGTTGTCAACCAAGTCACATCTTTCCGAGGCAAGCGAGTTAACTGACTTTAAAAGTCCAGTTTCCACCCTTGCCAAACTAGGATGAAATTTCGGAGCTATAACTGGACTAACGAGTCTATGCAAAAAATGCGTAAGGAAAAGTACACCCTTTACGCAAACAACATGACGACGAGCTCAAATGTTGCGCTACGATCCACATGCTCTGGGAGTCTTAGACAGGTAGTTTGAAACATTTCTTGATTAACTTGATCAGATCGTCATGATACATGTAGCAAGTGGTATGGGAGGCGGTTGGTTGATTGATTGATAACGGCAGGAGGGTTACAAATAGATTGTCGTTGTTTTGTTCTTGCAGGATGCAGTATTCGTACACTCACAGTTGCACAGTCGGCGTCCACGATGCAGACTTTCACGATGAACCGGAGGGCAATGGTGTCGCTTGAGACAAACTTGAAAGTTCTCAGTCGGAGAGTGATAGTTGACTTGACGGCGGGGTCAGGAGGCCCTGGGACGTCCTCCAACACCGACAACACGCTCGTGTCTATACACCTTCACGACAACAAGAGACAGTTCAAAAACATTTACTGTAAACAAAACGTAAATGCATATGTTCCTGAAAGCAAACTGTTTGTGGAGGCTCTAGGGGGGATAACCCGGCCCACATTTCACAATACGATGTCTATGCTACTATGTAAATAGATCTATGTCATTCCTTATTTTCCGTTCCCATACATCTGTTAAAAGTGTTCTTACCCTCCTGTAACCAAGGTAACAGATTCTGTCGCTGTGTCTGGTGGACCGTTGGTAACAACTGCCGTCTCAAGTCTCAACGCCGCAAACTCTGTAATGAAAGGTGATAAGATGTACACTGATGATTAATGGGCCGCTTCAATCACTTTGCAATGCTCCGCTGCAACTGACGTAACCTATTTGTCAAAACAATACTTATTGTCTTTAAAAACGTCAGACGTGTGATCAATTGAGAGCGATGTGTTCACTGGAACAACACACAGTTCTTTTCCCTGGGGATGTGAAGATATTAAACGTCTTATCTTGACTCGGAATAAAAGGAAATCAAGCATTTCCTCGATAGTTATCAAAAGGTCATCATGACCTGACGGGAGATGTGTCTGGCAGGGACCTACTATCAATGATCTTTCTCTGGTTATAACATGGACATCTAGACCTTGAACTGGAACTTATGGGTCAGACGGGACCATGATCAGAGGCCCAGTATATTTACCATATAGGGAGCAAGACCAAACAACCGAAAAAATATCATGTGATGTTATTTGTAGACTTTGACCTTACACAAATATTAATCCGTTGAAAATCATCGCGACAGATGTGACTGTCGCATCAGTGAATGATATCAAAATGATTAATTGATCAGCCAACTGTGTAGTTATGTCTACGAAGCCAATTAGTTCAACATGAGGTACATCTACAGTGAACCAAAGAAGGTACAGAAGATAGCGTTCTTGTAAGATCGTTGGTATTAATAAATCGCCCTCAACAGTAATCGCCCGGAATATGGAGTTTCCGAATTAACGAGAACTGCGCCAACGAGGCTTCACCGTTCTGAGAAACCCCGTGTATTCGAAAACCCCTTTTTCTAGAACACTTTTGTCACCAATGTTTACATATATTTAAAGAAGACATTACTCCATTTAATCCGGACATCGTTAATTTGGACGATTGGGGATGGTATCTTCCGCATTAACGAAGTTTCCTTCTACAGACACTTTTGACACGAATAGTCGTGTTTGCGTGGCCTGTGTTTGGATTTAATAACATTATTTTCTATTCACATGTCATGCCTTTATCAATATGTTAGCAAATTCAGGAACTAAGCAAAGTGATCATATTGATATATTTACCAGAAGGCGGGACGCTGAATGTAAATACAAGAACCACGCCCACTGTGACAGGTGTGTCAATCACAACAGTCCCATCAACTGTTGTAGTTACCAGAGTAACGGGATTAAATGTGCTGCTCACCACTTGCCGTTTAAGAACAAACCTGAAGAAAAATAAACAAATCGACCACATAAACTGTTTAGTGACGTATGTTGCCAGTAAACCAGTAACACATTAGCATGTTTTTATTTTGAGTAACATCAAAAACCTATTTTCTCTTACAAGTTGTATGACTCGTTTAAACATTAATTACAGCGACATTACGTTCGTTAGTTGTTCACATTCAACATGTTCCAGCAATGTGTCGGCGGTCTGTAAATCATCAAGACTGGACCAGACAATCCAGGGACTGACATCATAAACATCGATCCACGCAATATATGGAACCAAATCAGCGAGTCTGACCACTTGATCCCGTTGGTCGCCTCTTACGACAGGTATTGGTTTGCTGAATACCCATTTTAATCCGGAGCTTCACGGAGGCTGACAATACGGTATTGTAATTATAATATTTCATAATACTGGATACTATGACATCTCTGTTTCAAAATATATATATATATATATATATATATATATATATATATATATATATATATATATATACAAAAATGAGGTAAATGTTCACTCGGTGTACATGTAATATATAATAAAATAATAAAGTCCACGTTAGTCCATCATCTTCTTTATATCAGTTTCATACATAGTACTTTCGCTGTCTCATGACAGCTCTTCAGTGTAACTGACAATGACATATAATGACGTCATACTTATGATGACGTCATAAATTACAACTGTGACGTCACAATGTATTTACAATTGTTAAATTACTTGGTGTCGTCGTTGGAGTGTGTAAATACATTGTGACGTCACAGTTGTAATTTATGACGTCATCATAAGTATGACGTCATTATATGTCATTGTCAGTTACACTGAAGAGCTGTCATGAGACAGCGAAAGTACTATGTATGAAACTGATATAAAGAAGATGATGGACTAACGTGGACTTTATTATTTTATTATATATATATATATATATATAAATCAAAAACAATTGTAATTGTTATCCTGATTTGAAATAATTACTATTTTAGTTTAACTGATTTTTCGTCAATAGTTGGTTTTGTTTGTTTGTTTGTTTGTTGTTTAACGCCGCAGTCAACAATATTCCAGCTATATGACGGCGGTCTGTAAATAATCGAGTCTGGACCAGACAGTCCAGTGATTGATATCATGAGCATCAATCCACGCAGTTGGGATCGATGACTTGCATCAACCAAGTCAGCGAGCCTGACCACCCGATCCCGTAGTCTCCTCTTAGGACAAGCAGAGTCGCCTGTTACGGCAAGTATGGGTTGCTGAAGACCTATTCTACCCCGGATTAGTATTGGCTGGCCTGTACAGTACAACCAAACGATAGCATAATCCATTGTGAGTAAATACATATTACAAGATGATATAAAATGTTCACAGTGTGTTGTAGCATTTCTGTTATGGTATTAAGTTCAATAAAGGGAATCTTTGTTTCTACTTAATTTAAAGATAGAAATAGATACACAGTAATATATGTCAAATTGAATTATTAGAAAATCCTTTTAGCAGCCATTGCGGAAGGTGGTTTACTATTTCAGTAGGAAATGACCCTTGACATACTCATCTGCAGCAACAGAAAAGGATGACGCAGTGACCTCGATACCACTAAGGTTAAGGGTGTTAGTTAGCGTCACTTGAAGGTCAAGGCCGGTGATGTAAGCGTCCCTGAACTGGATCGTCACCTGGCGGACGACAGTCGTACTATTCTGAAAAAAACAAAACCAATTGAATTATATATTTATAAGACTAATCTTCAAGGATTCTGCAAAACTAATGAACATATATAATTTGTATATTATGCTATTAATATAATATTGTTTTGATGTACACGTATGTTTAAGAAATGGGAAACTGTGACGGTGTTTGCAAAGACAGCAATGAATTGACCCCAGTTACATGTGTGTGTATGTCAGCACCGGCACAAGCACCCACACCAGCATCCACACCAGCACCAACACCGGCACCGGCACCCCACACCCGACACCGCACCAGCATCCCCACCAGCTTCCCCACCAGCACCTGCACCCGCACCACCACTCGCACCCGCACCACCACCACCACCATCAGCACCACCATCCGCACCACCACCAGCATCACCACCCGCACCACCACTACCACCACCTGCACCACCACCATCCGCACCACCACCAGCATCACCACCCGCACCACCACTACCACCACCTGCACCACCATCACCTCCACCACCACCCGCACCACCACCCGCACCACCACTACCACCACCTGCACCACCATCACCTCCACCACCACTACCACCACCACCACCACCACCATCCGCACCACCACCAGCATCACCACCCGCACCACCACTACCACCACCACCACCACCCGCACCACCACCAGCACCTGCACCTCCACCACCACCCGCACCACCACCACCACCACCATCCGCACCACCACCAGCATCACCACCAGCACCACCACTACCACCACCTGCACCACCACCATCCGCACCACCACCAGCATCACCACCAGCACCACCACTACCACCACCTGCACCACCACCATCCGCACCACCACCCGCACCACCACCACCACCCGCACCACCACCAGCACCTGCACCACCTCCACCACCTGCACCACCACCACCACCATCAGCACCACCACCACTACCACCACCACCACCACCCGCACCACCACCAGCACCTGCACCACCACCACCACCCGCACCACCACCACCACCACCACCACCATCCGCAACACCACCAGCATCACCACCCGCACCACCACCACCACCCGCAACACCACCAGCACCTGCACCACCACCACCACCCGCACCACCACTCGCACCCGCACCACCACCACCACCACCACCAGCATCACCACCCGCACCACCACCACCACCACCTGCACCACCATCACCACCACCACCACCGGCACCACCACCTGCACCACCATCACCTCCACCACCACCCGCACCACCACCACCACCACCGGCACCACCACCCGCACCACCACCAGCACCACCAGCACCACCACCTGCACCACCATCACCTCCACCACCACCCGCACCACCTCCAGTACAAGCGCCACCACCACCACCACCACCACCATCAGCACCACCATCCGCACCACCACCACCACCTGCACCACCATCACCTCCACCACCACCCGCACCACCACCACCATCAGCACCACCATCCGCACCACCACCACCACCTGCACCACCACCCGCACCACCACCTGCATAACCACCACCACCACCATCAGCACCACCACCCACACCACCACCTGCACCATCATCACCTCCACCACCACCCGCACCACCACCAGCACCAGCACCACCATCAGCACCACCATCCGCACCACCACCACCACCTGCACCACCACCTGCACCACCACCACCACCACCATCAGCACCACCACCCGCATCAACACCTGCATCAACACCTGCATCCCCACCCGCACCACCGCCTGCACCACCACCACCACCACCATCCGCACCACCACCACCACCTGCACCACCACCCGCACCACCACCTGCACCACCACCACCACCACCACCAGCACCACCACCACCACCACCACCATCAGCACCACCACCACCACCCGCACCACCACCACCACCACCACCACCACCACCACCACCATCAGCACCACCACCCGCACCACCACCAGCCCCACCACCACCACCATCTGCACCACCATCACCTCCACCACCACCCGCACCACAACCTGCACCACCACCCGCACAACCACCACCACCACCCGCACCACAACCTGCATCACCACCCGCACAAACACCACCACCACCGGCACCAGCACCTGCAGCACCACCACCACCTGCACCACCATCACCTCCACCACCACTCGCACCACCACCACCAACCGCACCACCACCACCACCACCACCACCACCACCACCATCAGCACCACCATCCGCACCACCACAAGCACCACCAGCATCACCACCACCACCACGTGCACCACCATCCGCACCACCACAAGCACCACCAGCATCACCACCCGCACCACCACCACCACGTGCACCACCATCACCTCCACCACCACCCGCACCACCACCACCTGCACCACCATCACCTCCACCACCACCCGCAACACCACCTGCACCACCACCACCACCACCACCATCAGCACCACCACCCGCACCACCACCAGCACCACCATCCGCACCACCACCCGCACCACCACCAGCACCAACACCACCACCACCTGCACCACCATCACCTCCACCACCACCCGCACCACCACCAGCACCACCACCACCATCAGCACCACCATCCGCACCACCACCACCACCTGCACCACCACCCGCACCACCACCTGCACCACCACCACCACCACCATCAGCACCACCACCTGCACCACCACCTGCACCACCACCCGCACAACCACCTGCACCACCATCACCTCCACCACCACCCGCACCACCACCAGCACCACCACCACCATCATCACCACCATCCGCACCTCCACCACCACCCGCACCACCACCTGCACCACCACCACCACCACCACCATCAGCACCACCACCCGCATCAACACCTGCATCCCCACCCGCACCACCACCTGCACCACCCGCACCACCACCATCAGCACCACCACCACCACCACCACCATCCGCACCACCACCACCACCTGCACCACCACCCGCACCACCACCTGCACCACCACCACCACCACCAGCACCACCACCATCACCATCCGCACCACCACCACCACCCGCACCACCATCACCTCCACCACCACCCGCACCACCACCACCACCACCTGCACCACCACCACCACCACCACCATCAGCACCACCACCCGCACCACCACCAGCACCACCACCACCACCACCTGCACCACCATCACCTCCACCACCACCCGCACCACAACCTGCACCACCACCCGCACAACCACCAGCACCACCGGCACCAGCACCTGCAGCACCACCACCACCTGCACCACCATCACCTCCACCACCACTCGCACCACCACCACCAACCGCACCACCACCACCACCACCACCACCACCATCAGCACCACCATCCGCACCACCACAAGCACCACCAGCATCACCACCCGCACCACCGACACCACGTGCACCACCATCACCTCCACCACCGACCGCACCACCAGCACCACCCGCACCACCACCACCACCACCACCACCACCTGCACCACCATCACCTCAACCACCACCCGCACCACCACCTGCACCACCACCACCACCACCATCAGCACCACCACCCGCACCACCACCAGCACCACCATCCGCACCACCACCCGCACCAGCACCAGCACCAACACCACCACCACCTGCACCACCATCACCTCCACCACCACCCGCACCACCACATGCACCACCACCACCACCATCAGCACCACCACCCGCACCACCACCACCTGCACCACCATCCGCACCACCACCTGCACCACCACCACCACCACCATCAGCACCACCACCTGCACCACCACCTGCACCACCACCCGCACAACCACCTGCACCACCATCACCTCCACCACCACCCGCACCACCACCAGCACCACCACCACCACCACCTGCACCACCATCACCTCCACCACCACCCGCACCACCACATGCACCACCACCACCACCACCAGCACCACCATCCGCACCACCACCACCTGCACCACCATCACCTCCACCACCACCCGCACCACCACTACCCGCACCACCACCTGCACCACCACCACCACCACCATCAGCACCACCACCCGCACCACCACCAGCACCACCACCATCAGCACCACCACCTGCACCACCACCTGCACCACCACCACCACCACCACCACCACCATCAGCACCACCACCCGCACCACCACCAGCACCAACATCCGCACCACCACCCGCACCACCACCACCACCAGCACCAGCACCACCACCACCTGCACCACCATCACCTCCACCACCACACGCACCACCACCTGCACCACCACCATCAGCACCACTACCCTCAGCACCACCAGCACCACCATCCGCACCACCACCACCACCACCACCACCTGCACCACCATCACCTCCACCACCACCCGCACCACCACCAGCACCACCACCTGCACCAGCCCCATCACCCGCACCACCACCAGTACTAACACCTGCTCCCGCACGCGCACCAACACCCGCACCCACACCAGCACCAGCACTACCGGACCCGATCAGTGTTGTGCCCTCGAGACGTCTACGCACTCGCCGCCGGCATGTCGCCGGTTTATCTCCACCGCAACAACAACAACACCCCACCCAAAAGCAGCCTGGAGGCGTTCCAACACTCATCATATCTTATCATACCCGCATCAACTACACCCGCACCCTAAACACTCCCGGTCAGTGTTGTGCTGTCTCCTTCGAGGCATTCCGCTCTCGTCACCCGTGTGGCTGTAACTGTAACTGCATCATGTGCACAACGCGCTTCAACACAACGTACCCCAAACTACGAGGCGTTCCAGTATTCATAGCTGTTATGATTATACGTCCCTCGTTCCCCGGCCCCTGTCCCGGGTAATAATGCACGCTAAGAAGGTATAATTGTAGCTGCCCCTCCCTCACCCCCTTCCAACCAACAACACATTTGTGTTGTACACTAACCCTCGATTCGTCCCCCATACTGATCGCCGTTATGATCGTACCTCCCCATCCTCCATATCCACGACACCTTAATTATTTACCCTCACCTTCGAGGCCTCCCTAAACACATCGCCCTCATGATCGTACATCCCAAACCCGCAACACGTTAGTCATAAACCCTCACATTCGAGGGCTCCCTTTACTCATCGTCGTTATGATCGTACCCCCCCCCCCCCCCCCCCCCCCAACCACACACACCCCTTCCTCCCCGCCCAGAAACACGTCAGCGATTCGAGGCCTCACCACACTCATCGCCGTTATAGTCGTACCTCCCCACCCACAACATGTCAGTCATAAACCCTCACCTTCGAGGCCTCCCCACACCCATCGCCGTTATAGTCATACCTCCCCACCCGCAACATGTCAGTCATAAACCCTCACCTTCGAGGCCTCCCCGCACCCATCGCCGTTATAGTCGTACCTCCCCACCCGCAACATGTCAGTCATAAACTCTCACCTTCGAGGCCTCCCCACACTCATCGCCGGTATGCTCGAACACTCCATAGTATCCCTCCCAGTGGTCGGGGACGCCATCAGCGGGGTCAGGAGGTTCAGGGACACGTTTCAAGAGACAGCCAGGGATGCTGCGGTAGCCGGAGATGGAGATGAGGCCGGAGAAGTTTTGGAAGGGGTTGATGTTAATGATCATCTTGTTTGCCGTGCTCTGTGCGTCATCTAGAATGTCATCGCAGAGAGAATAAGAAGGCTGGCACAATACTAAGTGGTCTATCATATAATTCAACTACGTGTCTCTTAAACATTCCTATAATATGACTTCATTATAGTCTCATATAAGATAGCCACGACATAAATCGCAAAGAAAAAAAAGAAAGAAGCAAGATAAAACACTGTGCTGTCATGACGTCATTTCTGGAGATTCGAACATGCGCTCGCAACTTGATGACGTCGTAAATTGGACGACGTAATTTTTGAGAGGGAAGTGTCTAGTACGTTGTTCCCCACAGACGTAGCCGGACTATGGCGATACACGCAGTGGCCGAACGATCGCATTCAAAATTGAGCGAGATATGACAATCGGTAAAGGGAGAAAAAGTGTCAGATAATCGACTTGAAAATTGTGCGAATGTCCGGAACCCTCTGTTCATAAAATAGATTTCTCCGAATTTGCCGAGGTCGTATTGTATTCGGGGAGTCATCATTATTAAAATACGGGTAAATGTTTGTTAAAGCATTTACAATTTATTGACATCCTTAGAAAGGCTGTATGAAATGTTGATATCTCATATAAGAAATAAACGACCCGTGGTCGTTGTTTATCGGAGAATAAACCACTCGGGGCTTCCCGTTTATTTCGTATTTTAATTTTGTTTATTCGTTGTCCTCTCATGCCGCAGACAGCAATATTCAAGCAACATCACGACGACCTTGGACAGACAAACCAATGGTTGATAATTTAGCAACACCTCCATGCCGCCGATGTAACACCATCAAAAATATCCCCAAGGATGCCCAACTTATCACATTTAGTCGCCCTTAGGACATGTAATAGATCATGCGGGACCTGTCCAGACCCGGCTCCCCATGGAATATTGTTGCCGCAAAATAATAATGCCATATATCTTTGCACATTCGTTAAATTATTTAAAAGGTCTTGACAACATACGACAGTCTAGACTGGTGTTATGTATTGAGTCAGTTCCTTACATCGCCTGTACGAACACGTAAGTCCGTAGTAGTCCTCTGTACAATAGCAGGAAGTAGAGTTATCCGCCCCTGTGTAGCACGTCCCTCCGTATCCGCACAGCGTGTCATTACAGGCGCCTTGGTTCACGCGACCTTTAAAGACATACATATTGAAACAAGTGAGTAAACTTGGTTTAAAGAATAAGAACAGTGTCAAGTCCTATCACGAATATTGGCAGCGTGTTGAGAGAAGCCCACAACGGGGCACATCTACTCTTGTCACGTTGATGAAGCTGACAGAACAACGTTCATAATAAGGAAGAATCTGGGATATCGAACCAGTAATCAGCGGATCCTGGCATGGATAGGGGGAGTAACTCTGCACAGCGAACTACTTGTCCTTACATTAGACCCCACTGGGAACCCTGCCGGAGAAAGACAATCAAACTAGGAAGATTCCTGAAATAATTTGTCCGTTTTCATTGACAACTTTACTTTTGTCAAGACAATACAAGATGACACGACAAGATGTTTATTCGGTATTAGGGGCCTCCTGGTCAGATTACAAATGATACAAAAGATTGTTGCGCTTGCTCAGGCGATATATTAAGTAAGATTAAATTTCATCTACTTAAATAATCCTTAAATGAGGGATAAAGACATCTATTATATAGCACAAGGATCGTTTTGCATTTTGCATGATGTGTTGGTGGCGGTCGATTGTGTATCGTTCTGGATAGGTACATATGTAAATAACGTGAAACACGAAGCGTTCTGCTGTACAAGATGGACGTAAGCTGAAAGGAGTTGTATTCATCTTTATCATTATATTTGTTCCAGTTCAGTGCACCAGCTTTAACATTTCCATTGTAACGATGCCCTGGAATAGAGCGTATGACAAGACAACAGAATTTGCACAACATGCTGACTAGATCTACAAGCCTACTCCAGGAGATATTTTTCTGGTTCAAGTACATTTATGACGAATATACAAGTTTATCATGCCAGTTTTGAATGTGTAAATCTTTGTTTAAAATATTGTATAAAATTAGATGTAGTACCACAATTTTGTTTGATCCAAACATATGATTGAGTGAGTGTGTTTTGACGCCGCTTTTCTAAAATATTATCACGGCGGGGGACACCAGAAATGGTACATATGGTACCCATGTAGGGAATCGAACCCGGGTCTTCGGCGTGACGAGCGAACGCTTTAACCGCAAGGCTATCCCATCGCCCCTCCAAACATATCAGAATCCTGTTTGTAGTAGCAGGACGTATATGAGATACCCACTTCTTGCCATTTTCATCTAATGACTTCAGCATTTCATAAATGGTCTTTGGATAACGATCTCTGTCCACATTTAAGACTCAGCACCAATAGTTCTCTAGATCTAAATATGAAACGCCAACTTCAATGTCTCAACTATCCACCGAAACAGATTCCGTTGGGAGTAAAAGGCAAAATGCAGGGAAGCATTTTATGAATGGATCATTGAAAATCGGTGAGGACAACAGGTGTTCTCGAAAAGGGTAAATAAATTCTTGCCCAACCGGTATCACCCGCTACTCACAAAATTTGCATAAAAATGGAAGTGTTTGTTGAATAACAATGCACAGCAATCTCCTGCCATTGCATAGCATGGCATTACGTGGTACATTCTTATCTGCACTTGCATAGATATATTTAACTCTAAAAAACTCTGGATCTTTTAAATCTAAAAAATGTCTCTGTACATGTAACTCCAAATGTCCGAAACATGTTACAATATTTGTTCTGTTTTGCTGTCTAAAAAAGGAAGTACTGTTTGAAAGAAATGGATATAATGATTCTCTAAAATGTCAAAAATGTTAAAATAATCCGTTTTAGCTTAGGGTGACAAGGCGTAACGTTCTTTTGATGAGATTAATCTGGAGAAAAGACATTACTATTGATGATAATCAAGACTTGTCACATTTATAATAATTTGTCATTAAATCAGCATAGTTATACGATCAATAATTTCTGTAGCATCATACTTTTAATAATGCATTCCTGGATGACAAGTTCATAGCACAAATTGTTGTAACGTTTTCAAGAATATTTATCACATACACTCAAGGGTCATTGAAAGTTCATGATGAACTGCTTATCTTATTAACGTTCAGTGTAATACATCTTATGAAAGATGAAACACGTCCATTTCGCCTTGACTTGTAATCACATCATTAAATAATGTTTCATAACTTAGAATAATCTATCAAAAGACACTCGTGAAAAGCGGATCACATCACAAACCCAGGCTTAAGGCAACAAGGGATAGTTCCTGTAGCAGAACTGTTCTCCATACATTCGACATCACTCACCCGTCCGCATTGTGCCCACGCACAACCAACTCTTTATGACTTCATGGATATAAAATAATCTTTTTTTATGATATGATCTAGCCTCTTTGGAATTCTTCAGCCAGACTTTAATTCTATGCTACTCTGCAAATCAGGCCACTATATCACCAGGACAACCACACCCTGTTATTCTTATGGAAAGTCACGATATTGTCCTTCACATCTATTAGCACCACCTACTGGTCGCCATCATTCCACCCCAATGCCCCCCAGCCCAGCACCCTACCCCCTGTTATCTTGGGGAGGGGAGGGACAGACACCATTTCACCACCCACCATTGATAACGGGCATCACGACAACAACACACCACCCCACCCCACTCTCACACACAGTGTCCTTGTTATGTTGTATTAACAGGGAAATTGTGGAATTAGGCCGGTCATACCCCCTGCTTGTTCCACACCCAGTACTAGGTGTCCCACAGAGGAAATAGGTCACAAGATTTATTGATGGAGTTATTAATATTCTCATTAGGGTAGAGTGTAGATCGTTGAGGGGTGGTGGTGTATTGTGTGGTTTGTGGATTGTGGAGAGTTGAGAGCTGAGCGTAAAGAGCAATTAGATACCGACCATTTAATATTGTTCTGTCACTGCTACAAGACATACCAGGCCTACGATAATATTCTTTTTAAAGCTTATTTTATCAGGAACATCCACAAAGCAATTACTTTTTGTGAGTAAAACCTGAAACATATGACTTCTGAAACATATGACTTTTTCCAAGGATTTTATATTTTCTGGAACACGTTTCGTATTTTAAATCTGCTAGTGTACCTGCTTATTATCCTCTCGTCAAGTGAGAGTGTTGTTGGTGTCTTCCTAGTCTGCACCCATTACCTAATACAGTAAACTACGGTTATAACGAACACGCTTATAACGAACTGACGGATATACCGAACTTACTTTTTGGTCCCGACTATCTGCTGTAGTTATGCTGTATATATGCTTATAACGAATTACGGTTATAACCAACTAAACTTAGAAGTCCCTTTGAGTTCGTTATAACCGTACTTTACAGTATATATAAGATAGCTACGCGGTAAATCGCAAAGAACAATGAAGAAAGAAGCGTTGTTTATTTCACGATAAAACATTGTTCTATCATGACGTCATTTCTAGAGATGCGAATATGCACTCGCAACTTGATGACGTTATATATTTGACGCCGTTATTTTTGAGTGGGAAGTGTCTGGTAAGTCCCAATAGATGTAGCTGGGCGACACAGATAGACGCCGTGGCCGAGAGATCGCATCCCAAAGTGGGAGAGATATGACAATCGGTATTGGGAGAAAAGGTACAGATAATCGACGTGAGGATTGTGAGAATAATCTTAACTTAACCCACCTGTTCGTATAATGGTTTTGTCCGACATTTCCGAGGTCGGATTGTAATCAGGCAGTGATCATAATTAGAATTCGGTATATATTTAAAACTTGTACGTTTATCAAAATTCTTAAAGAGTCTGTACATAATGTTGATATCTCATATAAGAAATAAACGACTCGTGGTCGTTGTTTATCGAACAATAAAACACTGTGCAGGGAGAGGGGCGTATTTCCTAATTAAGGTACGGAAAAATGTGAAATTGTGTTCGGTAAAGCTCACTGACCATTACAACAATCGTCCATTGTTTTTATTGTTTGCGAAGAGGCACTTATCAACATGACGTCATACTAACGCAAATAACTAAAGATGTTCACCTATTGTTCATGACGTCATGGTGATTTTATGCAATGACGTTCCAACAATGGAGTAATGAAACTGGCGTCTCCATTCAGTTAAGATCAGTGAAGCCACATTTATCTACATGTCCTCAGATTGAAAAATAACTTCATCTCTCACTTGTTACCAGACCACAGTTGAATCCTCCTCTGGGCGGGGACAGGGTTCCACAGTCTGTGCACGTGGAGCTGCCAGTCGTGCACGTCCCGCCATTACAGCTCATCCCGAAACGACGACAGTCAAAGTCGGCATGGACTGATTGTAAAAAAACAAGCGGACCGAGTCATCATACAAGCCAATACACCTTTTGTTCAAAAGCGTATGTTAAAAATAATTACAAAACATACTAAATTTATGTTCATTATGAACCAGGAACAATGATTAAAATTGTAGGTCAATGTAAGCTTTTCCATTAATACACTGTAAAAAATGTGGTTAGAATCTAAACACATACAACACATGTTTAGATCTAAACATGTTTAGGAATAAGTTTAGATCCTAAACGGACTACACATTTGGTGTGTTCTATCTAAACACGTTTAGGCTCTAATCACATTAAATGAAGCATACAGCTTTAACACAACCAAAACACATCATTTCCATAATCTAAACATGCTTAAAATATTAACATGTATAAATACTAGACATGTTTAGTGTTTGAACATGTTGAGAATTTATATACCTTTAGACATGTTTAGAACTTAAACATGTTTCCACATCCCTTATCCTTATACTCTAAACATGTTTAGAATTGAAACGTGTTTGAAAATAAAATGCATACCATTGGACATTAAGTAAAATATATACAAAGCATGTATAATAGATTGTATTAACTGTGCAAATAAGATTTAAAGGCACTTCATAACCAACATACCACCAACACGTACATCGAACTTAACATAAAAAGGTGCAAAAAGAAGAACTAAGTTAGTGGTGACCAGGGAAATTGACATCTGTGACGACATTCTCCGTGGCGCAGGTGGTAACGTGGAGGACTACAAAAGAAGGGTTTTGAAGGTTCGCAACCCGCCAAGAGACTAAAAGTGAGTAAGTAAGTATGGTATTACGCCGCAGTTAGCACTATTCCAGCAATATCACGGCGGGGTAGATGCTAAAAGAATTGTGTTGACAAATGGGTTGATGCTGTATGGCTAATAGTATTTCTCTCATACATGTAACAATGAAATTATATATGATTACTATGATAGCCCTTTAACTTTGTTTAGTCCCCCCTCTACTATTGTGTCCCCATTAAATGCTAAAAACGCATAGAAACGCCCCTTTTTAAATTACCTGCAATGAATTTCAAGGGGATATACGGGTCTTTCCCCGTGAAGATTCCGCGGTAGAATAGGTCTTCAGCAACCCATGCTTGCCGTAATAGGTGACTATGCTTGTCGTAAAAGGCGACTAACGGGATCGGGTGGTCAGGCTCGCTGACTTGGTTGATGCATGTCATCGATCCCAATTGAGTGGATCGATGCTCATGATATTAATCACTGGATTGTCTGGTCCAGACTCGATTATTTACAGACCGCCGTCATATAGCTGAGTGCGGCGTTCAACAACAAACCAACCAACCAACTTTCCCACTTTTAGACCCTAAACACGTATATTCTCATGAAACCCCTCTGTGTGGGCGTGGGAATAATTGGCATTTATGGATATAGATAAATAGCTTTGTTCTCCTTTAATATATGTGAAATCATCCCTGAGAAAAGTGTTGCAAATACAGTGACAGGAGAGCTCTTTCATTACAAGTTCTTTTATCCATGCTCTGTGTTGCTTTAAAGTGTGTCACAAATGTGATGATACCCGTGTTGGTGGCTAATCGCGAATTAATCCAACGGACATTTAGATTTATCAGAATAAAGTCCAGGCAACGTAATCTAACCATTGACAATGAAAAACCATTTAACTTGTTGATACAATTGTAATACTATCTAAAGGGTAGGGAAAAATTGATGCAAACATAGACTTGGGCCATCCTCGGTTGTCTGGGGTTATATAACTCCTTTCTATTAACGAAGAAACCCTGGACCAATTGCCACGACATCTTCGTTTCGGAGTGACGTCATCGCCTCTATCAATCTTATCTCTAACATGGCACAGGGTGTCTTTCACTATCGAGTGTAATTTGATTGGACTGCTGTATGTAGTGTCTTGCCGTTTGAATCCGAGTGTGGTGGAAAATCGGCCAAGAGTAAATATTATAAAAGCATCGACATGTGATACACTGGGTAATCTAGGATGGACTGCTGTAAATCACCAACAACCCTTAACCGAAGTTGAACGGTGTCTAATAAATGTGGCTTAAACACGATCCAAGTGGATCAACTCCAGAAACGTATTAGGACAAACGTCCGGAGAAAATTATACTCTGCCAGTTAATATAATTTAAAACTATATACGAATGTATTAAATATAAATAGAATTATTGTCCATAATAAACATGTTCATAATATATATTTTTATGGGTATGCCAGTGTTGGTGAACACAAGAGTCGTTTTAATCGAAAACTCTCCCTCTGTATATTTGGAATGAGTGTCAAGCTACACTGAGAAAAGACCAACACAGAAAATTTTAATTAATGACACTCGTCAGTTATTGCCTGCGATTTACAAAGAAATGTAAGAAGCTTGTCTCTCAGGGTTTGGTTATACTGGTCTCTTTGTATTTTTTTCATCATTTTTGCCATGGTAAGAAGGGAGTCGAGCTATAGCTGTATGCAACATGGAAACTGTTTTTAGTTTAGATCGGCAATACACAAACAGTCGATCGTTGCGAGAAACACTGACTGTACTCTTGAAAACACAAGTCAAACCACCACACGTGTATCCGTGTCTACCTGTCGTTCTCACCCATAAAAACACAACAGAGATTCTAAAAAAACAAACTGTAGAATAGCCTAACAACAGGATGTGAGTGAAGAGGGAGGAGCGCCAGACACATGAAGATAGACGTCACGTACCTTTACATATTAATATGGCGGAAACCCACAACATTTGGCCCATTGTACACGTGACTAACATTCTTCTCTCCAAGCTATATAATTCCTTTGAAGGCCCGCCATTTCATCGTCATCTCGCTATCTCCCTGAATGATCCTGACTCCGTATCCAACACTTGGAGGTAAAGAATGTCTCCACACAGACACTGTTTCCCGTGTAACGATGTTATCTAGGTTATCCAAGGATAACATACGAAATCTGTTAAAACCGTGAATTAAGAGACTACTGTTGGCACCGCTCATCCGTAACCGTAAACACATCGTAGGAGGAAAGCTTCGCGACAAAGCAGTCTCAGGTTACTTGCGAATTCACTGTAGGTCATCCATTAAATCTTACAAATTTAAGCCCCCTGTTGGGAGACGGGCTGGCTTAGATAATTGCGTTGCATGCACAGATGCACGAACCCACATCAAATTCACATAAACCAACAGCATAACATGTAATTATAATGTATTAAAACATTTTTTCAGCTGTTTAAATATATGTGGTTGGAGCTATGCATTTATGGCCATTTAAAGGTGTAGCCTCTGGGACGTATTGTTATTTTGATAAAGATACTCCATGATTGAAGGGACGTTGTACATGATTTTTTGTCCCCCCGTAAAAGTTGTCATGGCGAGAACAGCAGCTAAAGTCGGCGTTCTGCGCTGCATGAAACGTGATTAACAACGTCTACTACACGATCCAGTCAACCGAGATACCATTATTCTATACACACATATAAAGTGACATTGCCGTTCCCCCCCCCGAAGCAGTGCAGATAGGCTGGGTATTATAAACCAAGGATACAAGAAATTCGTTCAAAACACAATAAAGGATGACGGTCTGTGAACTGACGAAATGGAAAGTTCTGAATACAATAGCGTGAATAGATTGGGGACATCACGTATCGGCTACAAAAGCTCTACCTGGGCCGAGGCCTCAGTTAGCAGCCCGGGGATATATTGTTGGGGGTGGAAGAAGCCGGATCGTGTGATCAGTGTTGGGGGTGGAAGGATGGGACATGGGGGAATGGGATTGAGGGTTGAAGTTAAGAGCCACGGCTCCACTTGAGCCACAGTCATAGTCGTTGTGCAGAGTTATGTCCCTTAGCTGTCTCCAGCTGTTGCAGGCTACATACAACTAAATGTTTCCCCATAGACATCTATAGTCACTTTATATATTATTTGTAACTTAACTAAGCATTCAACAGCTATTACCTGTACGTGTGTGCACAGTTTAACCTTAGAGCAGCAATAAAAACAACAAAAATGACCAGCATAGCCAGCTCCTTTTCCGAGTACAGGAAGCTAAACACACCTTCCCCAGTTTCGCACCAAATGTCACCTAATTGAAAATATCTGTGGTCATATTCAGCATAAGTCATCATGTTGAAAATGACAGTACTAAATATACAAAAAACATGGTCGGTTTAAATAACTGGATGGATGTACATTTAAAAGACATAAAAATCTGACACAATATCATTCAATCACAGCCTGCATCTGTCGATCTGCAGTGTCCCAACTGGTTCTGATCTGGTGTAGTAGAACCTGCATTCGTGAACAACTCGTGTTATTCCGGGACACGCCGAATGGTGACTCGTGCCCCTATCGTGGCCATTTTTGCGACTGGGTTACGGCTAACTGCAAACGGGCATCCTTAAACGAATGTCAACTCGTTGTGTAAAGATTCACGAATATTTTCCCCCAGATATCGATTATATTCCAGATGCTATTGAAAACAAATCGGGACTTCGAGTATTATACTGTATGATTGAACATATTTAACTGTATTTTGGGTATTAGTTTAAATGCAAGACATATGCAAAATCAAAAATTATTCCTGGGTGGTTCTTTGACTGAAATACTTGAAGTCATACACATATTCTGATTGGTTTGTCGTATTTTCGCACATGACAGTCATCGATAAGGGGAAGAGTCATCTTGCAGGTTACGGAAAGGGGCGAGTGGGGACGAATGTAGCCGTTGGTCGAAGTTTCGAATCAAGGATTCGTCCTGATAATGATTACCCGAGTTACCGCATCCGTTGGTTGGGGCTCAAGGAGCGAAAGGTCGGTGGTTCGATCCCCGTCCGCTTCATCGCAAAAGACGATTATAGATGGTACTGGTATTTCCCTGCTCAGCGTTCGTGAGTGAGTGAGTGAGTATGGTTCTAGGTCGCTTTCAGCAGTATTCCAGCAATATCACGAAAATGGGCTTCAGACACTGTACCCGTGTCGAAACCGGGTCTTTAGCGTGAAGAGCTCTAGACTACCCGACAGTCCTCTCAACGTTCGGTATTAAAGGGGTACACCAAGGACTCGTCCCACTTATCAGTATGTCTGTTGTAACAAGATGACACGAAGTGATAACAACTGATATAGTGTTCAAAGCGACGATAAAGCACAGATCTCTCATTCGCCCATTGAAGCCCCGTTACGACCCCTTGTTAAATACCGCACCCCGACATGACTCCAGTTATTTTAATCAGGCATTTCCCAAGCAAGTACTTTTCATACTCCGCAGCAATAATAGTCAATGGTTCACCCGTTTTGATGATTACTTACAACATATTCTGCCTATGTTGTCCAAGATTCCACGGTCCGTTTGCATGACGTGTGTCTTCTGTTGTTTATATAATTAACGACGAACTCAGAAATATTCCAGCAATATGGCGGCCCAGACTCGATTATTTCCAGACCGCCTTCATATAGCTGGAATATTGCTGAGTGCGGCGTAAAACAACAAACCAGCCAACCAACAAGGTTAACTTTCCAAATAAAAGAGGTGGGGATAATTGAAATCCATTTTTGTATTTGTAATATGGATGGTATATAAAAAGATGGTTTGCGGCTTTTGACAATTACTATGTTAACATATAAATTATGATCATTTAAGGATGGATATTTCCGATCAAAATTCAACTTTCAATGCATAGAAAGGCCTATTTATTATAAATACAAATTATGGTCTCTGACCAAGTGCGTGTAAGCTATTTTTTCTTACAAATTATCTTTTTAATGTACAGTATTGTAAACCCGAATGTTTCCTACATTGCACTTACTTACAATGGCTACACCCAGGCCTTGACAATAATTAGATGATTATAAGGACCTAAGTCTTTCCTGTTTCCATAAAATTGAAATTACCACACAAACAAGTCAATAATAGTATTCATCCAAAAGACAACCGTATAGGACAATGTCCTTATAACATAATATATCTTTGCATAATTGTGCATGTAGGTCTATGTATTGTAAAACAATCGCACACATACTACTAGTTTTACAGTTTCGGATAGCAGAAAAAACAAAGAGCCCCATCAATGATCACCTGTGATGATATAGAATACTAAATGAAAATAATAACGATAAATAATGATAATAACAACGCCAAACCCCTATCCATATTCATAAGAGTCAAGTGTACGATTCCGACTACACCATGACCAAGTGTGTATGGGTCATCACATATGGTGATGATACGTGATACGAGATCACTCGTCACAAACACACGCAAATGCAAGTCAAATGTCACCTGCAAACACGGGGAAAAAAGGGAATTGCATCGTATCAATTTGGTCACTAATGTCCCCACATGCGTACGTCCACAATAAAACGTTTTGAAAGTTGAATGTCTTAATGTTGTAACCCTGATCAAACAACGTTTGAGAAAGAGTCTATGGCGCGCTTTGGAATCTTCTTCCAAAGTTGTGAAATGTAAACAACTAAGCCTGGAGCTGCTGGAATATTGCTCGACATAAAGGGGAAGTTGACTATTGGAAAGTTGAAGTCATCCCCCTTTTCATTCAGTCTTGAGGATACTTTTTGTCGCTCTACTTTTCTATACATCAATACATGTATCTATGAAACAGAAGATCATGTAGCTTTTTCACCGGACTTTTTTTGTTTCAATTTGAGGTAGATCTGCAGAAGGAAAATGGCTATATGACCTAAATCAGATCATACTTGAAGCTTAAGTTAAACTTCAAGTCAAACTTCCCTTGTTTTCAATTTGCCGATCCGATAAGATATTCTAACTCGTAAAGAAACAGAACAGCAAAAATGGGCGCACAATTGATGACCACGGGATGCCTTGTACTGTAATATCCCCAAATTTCACATAGCTGGTACCATTAATCTTAATATCACGTTCTATTGAAAAGAACTTTTGAGTGCCCTTTCACAAATTACTTTTATTACAAACATTAATACCTCCACTTTTGTATTTAAGTCATCGGAAAAGAAATTGAACCCAAAGAAGCTGAAAGTGACGACGTTTTCACGAACACACGTACGAGTCACTGTTTTGTGACAAATTAAATCATTGATGAGTGCTGGTCTATCAAAAGGTAAATCAAAAACGACTTGCATGGTTTGCCAGGTATAATGAAACGACCGAAGCCTACACACCCGAATCGAATTATCAATGTTGAAATGTTTCTTGTCATATGAAATCGTCTTTTGAACATTAGACTGAAGTTTTATAATGTTTTCGTTTACGAACAGACAGGGCGTGTTCTTGGTTAAAATGCAACTCTGAAGGCGGTTATGTGCGTTACGACTTTAATCAAAATGCACTATTGAAGGCACACAGCATGTGTCCAAACCATTATGAAACGCATCTTTTGTAAATTTCTTCAAACCTAGTCACGGATTGTATTTGATTCTTTGAACGTGGTGCGAAGCATAAAAACTGGTTTAGTACAGTTTTCTTAAATACGACAGTTTGAGTATTTCTAGTGATACGGAATGTATGAGCGCGGGGGTCGCTGAAATTCACAAAGCCAGAAAGCAACTATACCAATCATGCAATATTAAACATCCCATCTTGCAAAGCCGTAAAACAGCAGCCTCGTAACCCAGAAAGATTTAGCCTGTATTGTTGGCTAGACAACTATGTTAATGCATAGAATAAAAGGCTTATAGTCAAATCGTGGCTTAGATGGACGCGCAGATTCAAACACAAATTAATATCTCACCTGAGTGTACTGATATCAAATGAAATGTCGTTTCGGGGACCGCATAACAAACCCCATAACGAAGACGTGAAAGTGTTGGACATTCTTGACATGTTTGACATATACTTGACATATACATACAATGTTCACGAATTATCAATATATACATTTTGTGTAAGTTTGTTTCTTATAAGACAACACTCTAAATGACTGTTGTCTGTAAATAATCGTGTCTTTACCAGACAAAACAGATATTGGCATCATGAGAATCGATCAGCGCCATTGGGGTACTATGACATGCATGAACCATGTCACAGAACCTGACC